TGATACATTAATATTATAAAAGCAGCGCATACATCATTAGCAGTGGCTGCTTATTTAATGAATTTGCTGTTTGCATTGCAGTAATGAGATCATTTCCTGCACCTTTTCTATTTACTTTCCCATATTTCCATTCATGCAAGTTCAGTTAGGAACTCCAGATGTGCCAGAAATATACTTGAATCAGACGGTTTATAAATCCCAGCATTTGAGACTGAAGGCTTAGCCCTACTGGGCTATGGGGGCTCTCGGCCCCAAATGGCATTCGTCAACGAAGCGGCGGCCGACATCATTCACGGGATTAGCCGGCTAACCGTGTTAATTGCTGGGCCCCGCGTAAATCAGCGCCGGCTTAAGTCATCAGACCCCGAATTTACGCGCTGCAAATACACCGAAACTGCCTGATCCAGGAATATTTACATTTTGCTAAAAGAACATTGCCTTCCGGACACTAGTCCTTTACATTTTAATCTAAACTATCAATTTTTACCTGTGGTTTTCACAAAGTTTATTTTTTATTTTTATATTTTGTCTGAAGCTTGATTGTATTTAATTAACAAAAAAATGTTATGTGAAACTTGTCTGTTGATTGATCTGGAGCCTTTTATTTGAAACGTGGCTGAAATCTGTCTTCCGGACATTAGTCCTTTATATTTCAATCTAAACCATCATGTTTTTTCTGCGGTTTTCACAGTAATCATCATCATCATCAACATATACTGTCCACTGCTGGACAAAATCCTCTCTCATATTTTTCCATCCTTTCCGGTCCTGTGCCATCAGCATATTATTATATACAGCATCACTGTATTAATAGTTATCAAATTTTGTCGAAATTCTATTAAATCAAGTTCTTTTCAGCAAGAAATGCGACTCAAATTAAGTAACACATACTCCCTCATACAAAACATGAATAATTAATTATTCGAGTGGCTGCAACTGTCATTTTTTACATAACATTTCAAATATATCAAAAACAGTTAGACTTGGGTATAGAATATTAGATATACATGAAATATATTTAGAATTTGGAGTAGAGTTTAAAAATGTAATATATATAGGGTGTTCCATTTAAAATAAGCAAGTTAATATCTACTTCCGGTATAACCGGAAGTGTGGCGATCTTGAAAATATTTTAAATCGCTTGCCCCAATTACTTCGGCAAACTGTCAATTTTCAAATTTCTCTTAATTATATTTTGCCAGATCTCGATCGCGGCGGTTCCCGGTGATACACCCTGTATATATAACAAACCAAGCTTCAAATTGCCCTTCCTTTGCAGGTATGTGGATGATTGCATATTAGGCATTCCACAGACCGAAAAAGAAAATATTTTATCCTATTTCAATTCATATCATCCTAAACTGAACTTTACAATTGAAATCGAAGACAGCAACAAAATCAACTTTTTAGACTTTTGGTATACAAAGCAAACATGGTCGGGCATGTTTTTATATTTCAAATCTCAGCACCCTTTCTGTCAAAAAAAATCCGTTCTAATGAACGTTGCGGATCGAGCCATCAAACTTACAGATCCTGAGTTTCGACGCAGCACAATAGAAAAAGCGAAACAAGTTTTATTAACAAACGATTACCCACAAGTCATGATCAACAATTTTTTTAAAATCAACATATACAAATTTTACACTAAGGAACAAAATACAAAGCCTAAACTTAAACCTGGTTAATATCTAACAATCCCTTATATTCCAAATCTCTCAGAAAATGTACAGAATATGTTTCAAAAAGAAAACATGTTGGTAATCCACAAAGGACACCTTCTTAACTACACCAAACTTAAAGGCAAATTAAAACCCCCGAACATAAATCCAACGTAGTTTATGAAATTCCATGCAATAATTGTGACGGAAAATATATAGGACAAACTAGTCAACTCCTTAAAAACAGATTAAATGGGCATAAGTATTATAAAAAAAATAAGACAGCTCTAACAAAGCATACTATCGAAACAGGACACATTTTCAATTGCACAGAAACTAAAGTCTTAAAATCGGAATGCAATACAAAGAAACGGGAACTTTCGAAACAATGGAAATAATCAGAAATGTAAACAGCATTAACTTTAAAACAGACACTAAGCATTTAAGCATTATTTACAATGGCATTCTGACTTAATTAGATTTCATTTATATATTTGTATAAAAAAAATACAATAAATTAAAATAAGCTGACTTTTTCTTATATGAGTTTACTGCAAGATATTCTGAACCGGTGAGTTACTGCGCCGATACGTTGGGTACGCGCACCAGGCCATTTGCGCAGCACTATGCCAACTCACGAAAATTCACTGAGTTACCCAGGCCTAGATAAATGCTTCAAAAGTCATGAGAGAAAAGGGGAAGTTTTTTTAAATTTCAACGGCCTCTATCTCCGAGATAATGCGATTTAAGGAAATAATAATTCTAAGCTGTTCTATCAATTCCTGAAGTTATCGCGATTAATCCTGAGGCACCCTGTATATGGATTTACAAAGTTCTACTTTTTTCCTACAAGTAGTACAGGTTGTCCTATTTTCGACCCTTCCTTATCTCTTCCTATCCTAAAACTGCTCCCCGAAAAACTCTTCAATCAAACCCTCATCCTAATTAACACTTACTTTTTCCTCAGACAATTTCCTACATCCTGGAAATCCGCCGCAATCGTACTAATCCCAACCCCACTAAAAACGAAACCTCCCTCCAAAACTGGAAACCCATCAGCCTCATCTCTAACTTTCAAAACTCACCCAACTACTCTTGCTCAACGCCTCAAACGATCCTTCGAGAGCAGTTCGGTTTCATGCAAAAACATGATGCCGTGCTGCAAGCAGCGAGGCAAATTCAAGATGCCTCGATCGCCTTCCAAGGGCTCCCGGGTCTCCCCAACTCTCTATAATCTACCTATAGGTATATAGGTAGATCCCTCTTCGCTGACGACACGTGCCTCTATTACTCACACCTTTACAACGACACTTAAACGCTGTTCAAGGCTGGACCGACACCTGGAAAATCAAAATTATCACACACCAACGCTCAAAACTAACACTAAACAATACAGAAATCGAATACACTAAACTAAATCTCTCAAATATCTTGGCGTCATAATAACATTGTAAAACATGTGTTAAGACACATGTTTTTAATTCTATTATTTTTACAGGACTAATTCCGAGTGATTTCAAAAAGTCTGTTGTTGTGCCGATTTATAAGGAGAACGATAAATATTCTCCAGGTAACTACCGTCCCATTAATAATATAGCCAAATTACTTGAATCCTGTATAAGGGTAAGAATTTCAAAACATCTTCAGAAAAATAAGATTTTATCTCCAAAGCAGTTTGGTTTTAGAGAGGGTAAGTCAACTGAAGATGCGTTATTTGAAGTAACCAATCATCTTTATAAGACTATTGCAAATAATAAAAAACCATTAACTATTTTTTTAGATTTGGCTAAAGCCTTTGACTCGGTATCGCACGATATACTGCTCGACTTGGTAAATACGGGTTAAGAGGGTTAAGTTGGGATTTAATTAAAAAATTACCTTACTGGAAGGGAGGACATTTTTAAAAGTACTATGAGTATAGTACTTTTAAAAATGTAAATTGTGGTGTTCCACAGGGTACCGTGTTAGGACCTGTTCTATTTACAATTTATATAAATGAACTTCTTTTTCTAGATACTGCAGGTAAACTTACATCATATCATACGCGGACGATACTGTTTCATTTGTAGAGGGTGATAGCTGGGAACGTTCTCTAGAAGAGGCGACTTTCGATTTTGCAAAGGTTCGCCAATGGCTGGAAGAAAATCACTTAACAATGAATATTGACAAAACTAAATTTATGAGCTTTACAACAAAAGACTTAAACAACAAAAGCACCTAGCTTCCTCCAAATTACCACCCATTTTCTTAAAAAATTTTTATTAACCAATCACTCTCAACCCTTAAAATAATTGAAATAGAATCACCATGAAGCTGAAAAGATAGCCTTTTGAATTATATTTTCAAAATAATAGAACTCACCATGAATAACATCAGTGCGATTTATTTAAAATTTATTACCTTAAACCACAGTAGGCCATGAAGAAACCAAATTAGCCTATAGCCTAGCAACCAAACTATGTTGACGTTCTTGTGGTTATTAACATTTTGATGAAAAGTCAATTTGATTTTGACATATTGGTTTTGTGAAAATGACTTATCAACATTTTGAAAACTGAAAAAAATTGAGTATTTCAATACTTACTTTAGAAACCGTTGGATAGGAACTCATGAACCTATAAGGTGGCCATCGCGATCACCAGATCTAACATCTCTACACTTTTTAGGCTCCAGAAAGACATTAGTTTGGAAAGATCGTTCTAACGTTTCGAAAGCAATTGTACTATTCAAATTATGTATTGTACATTTTCTCAGATGAATAACATGTTCAGGTAGGTCTCGCTTCCAGAAACTTCGGTTTCCCGAAATATTTCAGAAGAATTTCAGGTCTTATGCTATAATTAAACTCAAACATACTTCGATCCTTGTTATACTTATAGAACTATTTAGCATAATTTCGGCATATTAATAGCTTTTTATTGGAAAAGTATAACTTTGGCACAGTAGGAAGTAAGGCCCAAAAGGGCATTAATGCGGCTTTTAATTCCCTCGCATACCAAATTCACCTCAAAGCCATTCGGTTTCTCACCTCTGCGCATTTAGAACATAGTTCAGCTTTCCTATTTGTACCTCACATTCCGAAACCGATCCCTTTTAACTCCTTTGATTTACACTTTCAAACGTGTATCGATTCTCGTAATCCCACATAAGCTCCCAGCGTCATCTAAACCCTAAAGAATGGATTGCCTGTGTTAATGAAGCTTAAAGTTATCGAAAAGCAACCCTTAACTGTCTTCTGCCTTTGCGCGTATTATAGTTTATGGTTAATGGGGATAATTATTTTAAAAGCTGTTTATTATTTCGAGTACGTTTATTTTCGACGCTGATATTTGATCGTTACAGATCTAGTCCTAAATAAGAAAAAGAGAGATCCATCCAGCTGTCCGGTTTGTGGAATCACTGTATCGTCGGGTGATCTGGAGAGTCATTTCATGCAAGAGCTGGAAAGATTATACAAATTAAGTGGAACTGGAATGGCAGCGAGTAGGAAACGAAATACCAGAGATCCCGGCAGACCTCCAGCTTTACCTGGTGACAGTGGACCAGAAGGTCGTTGGGAGGTAAGCCACATACCAAAAACTAAATTAAATACCAGTAGGTATACTTTTTTAAATGTTTATTTCAGACATTTCAACGAATTAAAAATAACAGACAGGGTAGATTAAGACTTAAAATCAGGAAACGCAAGGCAGACGACGGTTGCCCAATTTGCACCGGAAGACCCCACAGAACTCAAGAAGAATTAAACATGCATGTGGAGCAGTGCTCTAGAAAAGTATATTAAAACCCCTTTTCAAGCGGATGTTTTGCTAATTATTTTGATGATTATAGAATCTGCACGATGAAGATGAAACGGTAGACGTTGAAGGCGACTCAGAATTAGAAGACTGGCACGAAAGTCAAAGGCAACGGAGATCTTCTTTGGTCAGCGGCATATCTCTTAATAGCTCGCACCGAATCACCGAAGTTGATAATGAGGGAGACGATGTTATTGTAGATGGAGATGAACCTGAAGAAAATAGTTTCGGACCATCGCAATATTCCGAGTCCGATGTTGTAATGAAGGAAATTCGAGAAAAAGACGGAGTGCAATCTCAAGTTGCCACAGTAAATTCCAGTGGTGATGTAGAAATTAAACCGGAATCTCAGTCAAACTTGCCCGTCCAAATCGGACAACAGTGTGATAGTAATGTGAGTACATCAGACGCAGAGCCCAGCAGCCGTCTTCAGCTAATAGAAGAGCTTCGACTTCGTATAAGGCAACTTGAAGCTGAAGCTGCAGCTAATGGGGAACAAACTTCTTCCAGTGAAGTACCAACCGCACACCCTGACGACTACAAGTGTTTAATTTGCTTGGTAGGTTTCTACGTCGTTTTAAGTATTTGCAGTCAGACTTAAAGTTTTTTTTTCTTTAGGAACATTACAAGAAACCGGTCATATCAACAGTATGTTGGCACGTCCACTGTGAAGAGTGTTGGCTTCACACTTTAGTAGGTTTGGTCAAGTTGCCAAAATATGCATCTAATTTGCGTTCTCTTTTACAGGGGAGCAAAAAAGTTTGTCCTCAATGCAGTATGATAACTTCTCCCACTGATCTCAGGCGAATTTTCATGTAAAACTATCTTAATGTCAGATATTAAACTACCTATCGCACTTACTAATTGTCGTAGCTAGACCGATTTGCACACAGTTACTCATTTGATAAATACATTTGCACTCGTATCAATGTCTCGTCTTTATCATAGTAATCTTAACTAAATCGTATATCATATATGAAAATTTTCAATTATAAAACTGAGGTGTAATTAACGAATTTTGGTATTCCAGATTGCCAAATCAAATAAATATTTATTGTGAATTTAATATTTTTACTCGAAACTGCAATACTTCTAAGTTTGTATATAAAAAATGCGTGTATTAATTCATCCTTTTCAAAATATCAGAATGAACAAGCATATAATTTTGATGTTAATTGAAAATTCAAGCATATTAATGTGATCTTTATCATTTTAGAGATAAATTATTTAAATTATCTAATGGACTTGAATGTCATTATGCATTACTTAAATTTGTAATATATTGTTGATTTTTATAGACACTTTAGCTAAAACCACCGTTATTAATGCCAAAATTCTAAAAACTCTCACTGAAATTTTATTGTCCCAATAGGAAAATTTGGGCTGTATTTTGGTGACCACTTGTACATCGATTCGCAAGTAATCGCACTTAAAGAAAATAGAATCTATGAAGTGGCGTAGCGAAGGGGGGAGAGTAAAGGGGCAACATGCCCCGGGCGCTACTCACAAAGGGGCGCCAAATGGTCCGCTAAACAAAAAAATTCTGGATAATTTTTACTTTTATTAGAATTGATATCTGAAAAATAAATTTTTAATTTAGTGCCAGTGTAATATAATAAATGTTAGTTAATTCGTAAATGAAAAGGAACGGAAGAAAACCTGTAAGCGAGTTTTATTGAAATGCATGTTATAGATGCAGCCTCAATCGGCAATACTAATTTTTTTTATTTTTCTCACGTTCAACGTTACGATGAGCGATATTAAAAAATATTTTAACAAAAACGATGTCAAACGTGAATCTGAAACACGATGGAGCTCCAGAATACAAGCGGTGAGCGTTATCGTCGATAGAGAATATCGAACTACTAGAAAAATTAACAGTGGAAACGACCACTACAAGTGGCACCAGAAGTGAAGTTGCAAAATATACTAACTTCTAGTTTCATATTCATAACTTTAGTTAATTTCTGGTAAAAATCTTAAGGAGGATTGATAGTGTGCAGCTCAGATTAGAAGATCCTAGAATGAATTTTAGAGATGCTTTCCATGGTCATTAGCAAATGAGCTAGCTCAAATTTGAGACAAGCTCTATAAGAGTTACCAGAAAAAAACGAAGTCTCTGCGAAAAATAGGATATTGATACAATACGTGTAAGAAGAGGCCGCAAAATGGCAGGAAAATTGGCTGGAGGTGTTGTTGCTCTTTTCGCAGAAAATCAAATTTATCGACTTATGAAAAGCGTTTTTGATCGTCTCGAAGGATAATATTAATAAATGAATAGAACTCTTGATCGAAATATGTGACTGCTAAATGTTACTCCGCAGTCGAAAATAAATTCAACCTAAAACTCCATTAGAATTTCTGACCTTCATAATCTCGAATGGAGATGATGTTTTTCCAAACCTGAGAGTGGCACTTCAAATACTCCTGACTATCTGAGTGGTTGGTTTTCGAAGAGAATGGGGGTGGCTAAAAAGGCATTGTGCCCCGGGCGCGAGTTAAACTCGCTACGCCATTGAATCTATGCTATATAAACGCATATAGACCTTATTTTGTTATTGCTGTATCTTAGTTAATGATTGGATAATTTTTTTTTCAATGAGCAGATCATTATATTAACAGTTTCTTCCATTTAACAAATTCTTCCATTTGTTGGAAAGTGGTAGACAATGGTTTATTCGAACTTCCATTGTCCCCTGCTTCGGTTCGTGGTATTTTTAACCGTTTGAATGCCAAGGCGTCAGTTCGTGATTGAAAAAACCGCAACATTTTACCTAATTTTTAAATCATATGATCTTGCTCTTTCTTACTCAGCCATAACATTGACTATGAACGAAGAAGTTGATGCGTCCCGTTTCTTACGTTCTGGTGCAAACATCGACATAAAAATAACCGCGAGGTATACAAGGTGATTCGAAATTCACATAATCAATCCTTGGGCCACGTTTTACGTTAAAAAATAAGGCAAAAGTACATAAAAAACATTGGTCCACAACCCCTTTCCTTTCAATATACAGGGTGTCAAAGTTTAAAAATTTGAAAAGCTTATTCTCGATTGCTTCTAGAGCTATTAAGGCATTTGTTTTCAACTTGAAACATTATTATGTAGAGTTAATTGTTTAGGTCGTGCTCTTTTTCCACTCCAAACTTTTTATGGTCTGCCAGTGAAGTCCCGACGATGATGTTTCTTTCAAATTCCTTGTTTAATTTATAACATTTTTTGCTTCTTTCCTCTTTCTCGTATCTGCCACTGTTTCCAGTTATTGCCAAGATATCGCCTTTGTTTTTTTATGATTTTGCATACTCAGAATTTGTTAATAAAATCCATTAATTTTATTATTAAATTTTTTTTAGCTTTTGAAACAGCTCTTAAAATTTTCACATTGGTATTTTGAAAATGAAATGTTTGCACATGTTGTTTATATAAAAATGTTTCCTTATTTCTGAATGTTAAACTCTATGCTAAAATAAATGCACTATTTCCACAAACTATCCACCCTTCCAATTGAACTCAAGCTTTGCAAAACAATGTTTCTGCTTCGTATCTGGCTTCTTTTTTTTAGATAAAATATGAAAACCCCATTGTTCCATGTCCCTGGGACAACGTAATGAATCATTAAAACTTCCATCATTCAGCAATCAAAATTGCACGGAAATATTTTCCCTATCGACTTTTTCGCACATATTGAATTCCTTTATTGATTATTCACCCTGATATCTTTAAAATTAATCATTTCCCGACTTTTATGTAATTTTTTTTAAATACTCAGAGAACCGCCTTCTGAAGTCTGGCTACATACTTAAATAACACCCTGTATAATTAAAAGCTGTTGAAGACACTGCTATTGCTACAAGTAAATAAAGAAATCCGAACGGAAATACGAATATACCATGAAATTCTAAAGTTAATTGAGTAAATTTGCGCACCCTATATCATAAATTAATATGTTAATTGTATATATTCATTATTATTATTATTATTATTATTGTTTTTAATATTGTTACATGTATATCTGACTCTAAGTTATTACATTATTAAATTTGCAATGTATAAAAATATATGTAAATTTTTGTAGATAATATACTTATTATTAAAATTAATATCATTGTAACTTATTAACTGTAATTATTAATAAATGTCAGTCTCTACTAGTGTGAAGTTTTATTCTTAGAAAGATCATGTGTAGATGAGAATTCGTGGAAAATAAGGAAATTATATCGAACTTTAAATTAAAATGTTTGTTGAAGTGGTGATTTTTTTTTTCAATGTAAAAAAGTTGAAAAATGGTCAATCAACATTTAGATGTAGGTTTTAACCAGTTTAAATTAATAAACCATCGCCTTTTTCTTTCCCACTTGGTCGTAAGAAATTTCAATTCACATTTTTTCGCGTAATTATTTAAACCGTATTAACTGATTGTGCTAAACACATTCCAAGACAATATTAAGGCACATGTCATTGTTTTGTCACGTCGGTATACGTGTTTTATGGACGCCATTGTACTGCGACATAATGTGGTGATAATAATGTCGATATTCCGTGACAAAATACCGTGAATTTGTCGTACATCCATTTTTCACGTGATTATCACTTTTAGTGTTAACTATTCAATAGGCCGGGGGTAACTCAGTGAATTTTTAGGAGTTCACGCAGTGCTGTGCAAATGGATTGGTGCGCCAACCCAACGCATCGGCCGTTGTGAAATTTAGTTCGACATTTTCACTACAGGGGCCACAGAACAGTTCGATGTATTCACCTCAGAGGGCGCTCGCCTCTCATCAAGTTATTTTATTTTATTCACTAAAGAGAGCGCTTGTCTCCTTTTCTTGGCTATTAGTTCAGTATATTCACTATAGAGGGGCATAATATACAAAATATACACACTTTAATATTTATATTATTTATTAGAGATGAGCTAAAGCGTGATTTTAAAATCACTGTTATAACTGTGAATGTGATTTCTTTTTAAATGTGAATTTAACCTGTGAATGTGATTTCACTGGTCGTTGTCCAAGGGCGAATCCAGTGGGCGGGTCATGGGGATCATGTCACAAGGGGGGG